GGAGCAAAACGATCAGGCCACAGTGCAACAATTTAGAAAGTTCTGGGGCGCGGGATGGAGCAGGCCCCGGGCAACGCCGGTGACAGGGATCACAAGGCCCGCGGCTGCCTGTGGGTTTCTTTCTGGAACAATGGGCACTTGTTAAGTGTGTGGCAGAGAGGAAGGACGTGGGAGAAGCTCAGGGAGTCAGCCGCTGGCCAGTCCACCAGGAGGTCACTCTGCAGCTCTGGCTGCAGAAGTGGGGAGGGGCGTTCGAAGAAACGTTTAAACACGCCCCCTGGACCACCTTCCGCAGCCTGGGTTCTGCTGGGCACCGCAGAGCTGTCCTGCTCTGCTCAGAGATGCTTCCTGCCCACCTGGGTCCCAGCCCAGGTAAGGACTGGCAGGTCGGACCGGGCCCTGGCGGAAGGGGCAGGGGCAGCCTCTGCTCCCACGGCCCCTGCAGCCACTGCCCACGGACACAGAGACAGTGGGGAGAACCACCCCACGGCAGCGCCCTCGGGAAATTTTGTGGGGGTAACAAACAAAGCCAGTTCGACTCTTGTTATTTTGGGGAGCACAGACCGACATGGGGTACTGTCTATGCAGCCACTGCATCCATCCCTAATCTGTCACTGGGCCCCCGACAGCGAGCTAGTTTCCAATTACAGAGCTTAGCGGGCCTTCCCTAAGAGCTTTCAGGCCCATGGGTCCCCTTTTCTCTGCATTAGAACTTCCCACTCCTCAGCAGGGGTGTTCGTGGTGAACCTGGGGTGTCATAGACCCCTTCCTCTTCCAGAACCCCCAAGCAAACTCGAGACGGTGGGTGAGCGCATGGGCCAGGGGCACAGGACCTGTCCCTGCCAGAGGTCATGCCCTCACCCACTCCCACCTCGGTGGAGCAGGAAGAGATCTAGGACTGCTTGAGGCGATCGGGTTGGCCAGGATGCTTGCTTTTGAGATGAGGCACCCCCCAGCCAGACGGACCTTCCCCCCGGCTCACAGGGGCCTGGCACAGCGGTGGCCCGAGGAGGTGCAGGTAGAGGGATGTTCACTGACCCTGCTCAGGCCTTGCTCAGAAAGAGCCCACCACTTTGGGGGGAGGTGCAAACAACAGCTTTTGAAAGACAAGCCACCTTTTGCAAGGGCACAGGGATGGCTTCAGGCCAACTCGGCTTATCTTATGGGAAGGGAACTGACCCCATCCACAGCAGCTCTAGGCCTGAGCTTCTAGCACTTTCTCAGGTGAGTACTGTAAGCCAGATGGCCACAGAGTCATATCTACCCGATTGTAAAAGGCGGGCATCCGTATCATGCTGCCTGAACAGCTACAGCAGAGGGACTTCTAATACACTGAACATTCTCACGTGACCTTAACAACGCAACCACCACCAGGAAGTTCACTTCAGAAAACTCTCAGACCCAACTGATGCTCAGTTCTTGGGTGAAAGTCAGAGGAGTAACAGGACATTCATCTCAACAAGATCTTTATCAATTACAAAAGGAAAAACAGTAAGTGCAGCGGAGAACTGGCAGATCACACCCCAGCCAAGCGGTCCGAGTTAACGCCCCCAGTGATGGAACAAATCGAAGTGGCCAGGGAGGAAGTGATGAGAAAAATATGCTCCTGGGAGATTCCTGCCCATGGCACAGAATCCGGGTCCACTTGTGAGGAAGCGCCAGACAACTCAAGCAGAGGGACACACTGGAAAATAACGGCCGGTCCTCTTCAAAACCGTCAACGCCATGAAACGCCAAGAGAGATGGGAGAACTCTACACTGGAGAAGAGACTGAAGACCAGCACATAAAGCCAATTCTCCTTTGCCGATGGGGACATTATTACCAGACTGACACATCTCAAAGAAGTCCACGATCAGATAACAGCACTGCTCCCCGTTCATCTCCTATTTCCGGAAAGTCTATGTGGTTCCTTAAGATACTGCCCTTGTCTTGTGGAAATACACGCTAGTGGATTCAGGGGCTCGGGGCATCAGGTCTGAAACTTACTCTTAAATGGTTCTGGAAAGAATAACTGGAGAAGATAAAGGTACCATGGTAAAATGTTAATAATCGAGAAAATCTGGGAAGTTAAAAACGTTGTCAAATTATATCTCAATTTTCAAAATTATTGACAAGGCCAAGAGACAAGATGGAACCATAGAAGGAAGACTGACCTTGGAGTTCTAACCCTGAGCCTCCAGCTGTGTGGCCTGGGGAGGGTCTCACCAACTAGGATGGGAGGGTCATCACCCTGCCATTCCCTCACTGGTGACCAGCGAGCTAAGGCATGGGGCAGCACTTGGCAAGAGATCAGGAGCCAGACACAGCTCGCGATGGAGAACAATTTCCCTGAGGATGACATCTACGCTGCCCTCCGAGCAGGCGCTTCTGGCAAGCCTGAGTGTGGGCAAGGTTCTCTCCTGCTGCCTGCTGTACAGCTGTCCATGGCTGCATTGTTTTATAGATGGCTTCTGTTACTTAACCTTGTATCATACCATTAAAAAAAATGACATATAGAGTTGACAGCCAGTATTTAATGGCTGCGTAACACTTCCGGTGGGGCTGTCATCTATAACTGACTGTTCCTCTATTTTGTGGACATCGAGGTGGCTTTCAAACTTGCACGCCTCTCAAACTCCTTTGCACACACAGCTTTACGTGCATTTTGGATAATCTCCTTAGACTAGGTCTCTATAAATAGGATTATAGGATCAAAGGGTATGAACCAAATACTTTCCACATAGATATTTTCATTTACATTGCCAATAATAATGTAGGAAAATACCAGTTTGGTACTTATCACGTTCATATTCTGCCTATTTTTGTTTTTTAACGAGAAAATGGTACCTTAATGTTATAACTTGTATTGTTTTGAGTATTAATGGGGCTAAACTTTTCCCTATATATATTTACCAAATGTTTTTACTATTTTGTATGAATGGGGCCTTTGTCCACTTATCAAGATATTTGTTTTGGTTTGTTTTTTCTAAAAAGCCAGTTCCTAAAAACTCTTAACAGAATAGAGATATCAGCCTTTGGTGCTGTCATATTTTAAAATACTTTCCAAGACTAGAAGGTTTGAAGAAGTGGACTGATTTTCAGTTGTCTGAGATGGTTAACAAGCAGTTGACCGTCTAGCCTACCTCTGAAGATGAGAGTTCTCACACCAGCAGGTGCTCCAGCAACACTAAACTGATTCTCCAAAGAAAGATGGTGAGAACTCCTTAGTAAGGTCATTAGCTACACAGCCTGAGAGGACCTAGGTCGATAAATGAACCTGTTGGGCAGGTTTTGCCAATTCTCTTAGTCTAGCAACACGTGAGTTAACTTCTGAAAGGGAATAAACTGTCAAAGTCCCTTTCTAGCTTGGACACTGGTATTTTCTTCTTTTCTTTTAAGAAGCAGGTGGAGCACATTCAACAGACAAGATGAACAATTCACATCTTTTTTAATGCCCAGAAGGGGACGCACAGACTTTCGCAGGCCTTCCCTGAACATCACAGAGCCATGCCCCAACCCCCAAGAAGTGAACAGAAAGAACTCTCAACTCAGATCTCTCAGGAAAGTCGTCTGTTCTATAGGACCTGTACCAGGTTTGTCTTTATCGCTTAAAAAATATATTGTATTCAATATTTTTAAAAAGGGGAGTAAGGGAAGAGATTCTTGCAAAGAAAGTCTTGGGCTCTTCCTCAAGTACACATGAACTCTGGTGTACACGCTCCCCACACCAACCAGTCTGCCAAGGACTGGGTCTCTGAATGGACACAAAGATCAGGTGGGAAGCCGGGAGGGGAGGCAGGGGCCGCCCTGCTTCCTGCGGGTCTCTGCTGCATCCCAGGCTCTGTTTGAATGGCTCCCTGCGAATTTGACTTGAAGAGCTGAGAAGCAGGCCACTTAGTTTCCCAGGGACCAGTGGGCCTCCATCCAACAGCTCTGGGAGGAGGTCAAGTGACTCCTGCAGGCTTGTGACACCCAGGTGACCTGTCTCTACCAAAGTGCTGACTGTCCTCAGCCTTTGGAAAGCAGCCTTTAACAGACAAGACCTATAATTAGGGCAGCATTTGGTGCTCTTATCTGAGGAGGAAGAGGAAATGTGCCCTATAAGACTCCTGCCTTGGGTCATTTGAATATTGAAATTACATCAGAAAGGGGCCAACTTTTCTCTACAGCTGAGGGTTACTTGATTCAATGCTTCAACCGCCAGGCCAGGGCAAGGCTTTGGTTTCCCCTTTTCTCAGAGACTCCGGGCAGCTGGTGGCCCTCTTCCAGCCCAGCCTCTGCCACTGACCTCAACCTCAGAGTTGCTCAATTCTATAAAACCAAGATCATCTAGAACAGAGATAACAAGAGATAGAGACCTGAGGTCTAGAGATGAACAAAGAAAATCAAGAAGCCGGTCTTTTGTAAATTTCACAGCTGAGGCGCTGCCTCTGGCAGAGGGCTGGATGGACTGGCAGGTTGGGTGTGGCTGAATGCACCAACCGTGCTGTGGATGTGGGTGGTGGCACAGGACTGGGAGCTGCCTGGCTCTCCAGCCTGGGACAGCCACCTAACTCAACTCCCAGCCTGGGAAACAGGTGCTACTCGCCACGTGCAGCAGAGATGGCCAGAAAACAGTGAAGCAAGAGGTGAAGGACCCAGAGTGCCCTCACCAGTTTTCTGAGTGTCCCTAAGTCCCCAGGGTCAGGAGCTAAGGGCGAGCTCTGGACCTCCACCCTCCACGGAACTGAGCTGAGGCGCCCACCTCGCTGAGGCTCCAGCTGGGGGCGAGCGCAAAGGGGCGTCGTCTTCGGTGATGCTCAGGACAGGTCCACCTCTTTGGCAAGACTGACATCGTCCTGCTGGTTTAGGACTGCCCTGGGGCGTGAGCAGACACTGTCCACTGGACGTTCGGCCATGGGTCCGACCAAGAAGTGGGCGCCAGGGGGACGCAAGGGCCAAGGGAACGGCGGGCAGGGACCAGGTGGGAGTCAGGGCGGGTGCGGGGGAGGTCAAGGGAAAGCAGCGCGCGGCCACCCACCTGACGACGTGGAAGGCCCAGAGCAGGTGGCCGGCCCGGGGTCCGCGCACCGCGCGGACAATGCTGAGGTACAAGTAGAGGGCGATGGCCACAGTCCAGAAGAAGGAGCTGGTGTTGGCGAAGGTTGAGAGAGCTCCCTGCAGCACGCAGTCCCACGAGGGGCCCGTGAAGTCCTGCAGCACCCCGTAGAAGTAGGAGGCGGCCGAGAGCAGGTCCGCCAGCGACAGGAAGAGCAGCAGGCGCCGCGCTTGGCTGCGCAGGTCGGGCCACAGGGCGTGCG